TCCTAACTTAAAATTAACAAAAAGAAGTAAAATTCATTCAGTGACAAATATATAAAATCGTCATTTAGTCAAAGATCAATGCATTATTTTGAGGCTATATAATCATTTCAAAAAAAAAATAATACTAATAAAAAAAGAAAAAGAAAATATCATATCAGTGATATTTTCAAAAAATTGTTACAAATCAATGATAAATTTATAAATATTAATAATTAAAATTTTAAATTTTTTTATGAATTTATAATTATTTTTGTAAACTATCACCTATCTATAATTTTTTCCTAAAAAAAAAAGAGTTTATAGTTGAGAGTTTTAATTAAGAAGAATCTGATAAGGAAGTAACAACAAAAACAATAATGAGTCAGTTAGGCCCACACAAAAGCGACGTTACCGAAGGGGTCGACCCGGTTGGTACCATATTCCTCGTCGGTGTCGGCCCATCTTTACCAGCTCAGTGGTACTTTCATGGCCCGCTTTCCTACTCCCTATAGGGTTACCCATTCTTGAGGGGTCCTCATCGAAATGCTTTTGCAAATATAAAAGAATTAGGTAAGGTGCCCTTTGAAAGAGAAGACTTGAAATCAAAGAATTTGAGGTTGGAGTTTTATAATAATTATATGAATATTTAAAGTGAATGATTGATGGTTGTTTTGAAAAGTTAATTTTTTAATTTTTTTTTGAAAAAACGTGTAAAAAAATAGAAAGATGATATAATTCAAAATAGATTAAAAGTCAAAAATTAACTTTTAACCATGTTCTCAAAATAGTCCTGAATAGTGGTATGAGATATGTGTTTTGTTCAGATACTTCAATACTTGTATAAGTGAAAAAATTTATAAAATTTTATAATGGGTGAATTATTAGGTTAGTCACGACTGACTCGTTAAGGATGAAAATTTGTAAGCGACTTGAGTTTTTCATGACTTGTCGAAGGATAGAGAGTAAACTAAACTTTATAAGATGTGAGACTAACTAGGCTAATGGATAATCAAAGATTGATAGAATTGTGGTGATGAGCTGAGGGCAATAGAGCCCATTTGGTTGTTGTGATGACGTTATGCGAAATTCATAGCCATTGAATCTTGGGTTCAAGTCAGGAAATGGTTTGAAGTCTATCACGACCAAGTGGTGCAACTACATGTGGGTAGTAACTGATCCTGAGGTACAAAACATACAAGGACACATGTAGGTCTTGAAGGAAAAAGAAATCTAAGACCATTGGCTATGGGGTCTCATATTATCTCCTTTTATTTTGTATAATTATATTGGTCTGAATTTAGGCGTTGTTTGGGTATCCTAAATAAGTGCACTTTTTGTCTTTTTAGACTAAAAAATTGAGGAAAAAAATATAGATATTTGGGTTAACTTTTTGACTTTTTATGGAAAAATGTGTATTAAAAAAGTGTATAAATTAGTGTGTAGGAGAAAATTAGGATTGAGAGTTGTGCAGCCGTAATTTTTGACTTTTGATGAATAGTGATAACTTTTTAATTTTTTGAGTAACTTTTTGACTTTTTAACTTTTTTTCAACTTACCAAACTTGGCCTTAGTTTCTAGCAACTTCTTTTATGAGTTGGCCAGGACAACTCACATCAAGTTTCTCAAATTACCTAGGTAGCATTGAATTTTCACTAAAAATTGACCTAAATAATATGATAGGAGCAATTCAACTGCCACATATGTGAGTAAAAATAATTTATGAGATTTGTATGCTTGGATAAAACTGTGTGTCCCTCATTAAAAAAAATACAATTAAGTTGTCAAAAAAGCATTGACATCAATTATTGGGCAAAGACAAAAGTGGAATAAAATTCCTTGAATTTGAGAGGTTTGGTAACATAATAGAGATGTAATAGTGATAGATTGTGTCTCATTGCGGATGAAAGAGAAAGGATTGGTTTTATATCAATCTTGTCCAACATAATTTAAAATTTTTAAGACTGGTAGATAGATTTGAGTAAGGTTGATGGTGGGTGCTCTACTAATGGACTCAAATTCAGTAGTACAAAAGGCACAGGGAGAGAGAGAGAGAGTATTTTGTTTTGTATTTTAATGCCCATGCATTAGCCTGTGGAGCCTATTTCATATCATCTTGAAGATAAGAATTATGGGCATCTACAAAATTCAATTTTGTCAGAATTCACTACTTTTTTTTTTTCTCCCCCTTTTCTATTTCATATCCTCTTGGAGTTATGGTTATCTACAAAATTCAATTTTGTCTGAATTTACTATTATTTTTCTTTTACAGTGCTATTATGGCACTCTGCTACTGCTTTTATCATTCTACAGTTCACTTTTGATTTTATTTCATCAAATTTTCAAAAAAACCCCTTCAATTATGCACTTTCAATAAAGCCCTTCAATAATGAAAAAAACTATGTACTACCAAAAGTATAATGAAAATAAAGTTTAAGTTGTGTATTTCAAACTTGTGTAATATGGGTCACAAGGAGAATAAATTTGAGTCACAAATTTTATTTTCTTGATATTTTTCATGCTATTTTTTTCTAAGTATGCAATACTGTTGATGTTTTCTAATAGTTATTTTATTTTTAAATTCCTTGGGTGAGGACTAGAGAAGATTCTTCACCTCTTGAAATATTTGGTTAATCTTGCTGACTTTTACAAAACTCCTATTTACATTTTTCAGTGTTGCGAGTGACGAATTCACTATCATTTAATTAAAAGGTAAATTGTAAAGACATTTCTTAAAGTTTGCTTAAAATATGGACGGTCTCATATGATTCTAAAAGTTACAAATATTCCTTTCAAAACTTTTAATTTAACATAATTAACTAAAGAATGAAATTATTAACTGCTTTCTAATACAATAATAAAATTACTTAAATTATTAATTAAAATATGTATTCGTTTGAGTCCTGATAATATTTTTCTATGATATTGCTACATCACCATAATGTACCAGGCTTTCTTGAAAAATATCTAACCAATCTTTAAAATCATTTATTTTTATGTGTGTACATTTGGAATCATATGACCTAAGAAAAGGAAGAAAAACAAAGGCATTGTTTGGAACAAGATTTTTTCATAGACTCCCTCTGAAATGTATTTCGAATCCTTTTTGCATTAGCTGGAAAAGAAAGGGAAAGCATGGGTTAAAGTCACTTTCTCTCCAAAATTCGAATGGTGCATTTTACAATTTTTCAGTTTGTCCACTTCATGACAACTTGGAAAAACAAGGGGATTGCTTCATTGCTTGGGCTCAGGTTTCTCTCCAATTTAAAATTAGATTGGAGTATATTGTTAGACTCTATGGGTCCACCATGGAATCCATAGTGATAATCTAAACCGTTTAATTGATAGCCTTCGTACAGTATTTTATTTCTGCAAAAAATTACGTTGATTGGATATCAATAGCCACTTGATCAGATCAAATTCGTGTTAATGGCAACTATAATTTTAAAAATAAATTATTAACATAAATTGATCTAACAAAGTAGCTATTTATATTCGATCAACATAATTTTTTACAGGGATAAAATATTTGATCAGTTCTATGCATTGAACAATTCGGATTATCAATGTGAGTTCCGTGGTAGGCCCAACAATACATTCCAGTTGAAAAACCCAACTGGAGTGTCCTACTCATTGAATAGATCTAATTGTCCAAACTGAATATTAGCTTCAATTTATGTGAAATTCCTAAATTTTTCTTTTGAAGTTTGTTGAAAGTTATCAGAGAAATACCCACAAAAGGGAATCCTATTTAGGCTAGCAATTCCACTGCATTTCTATTAAATTCAGATATAATTAATGCAATCTTGAATTCAAATTCAAAATCACATCAATGGTTATGAAATTGAGATCTCCATTCATTATTCTTATTAATAATGGTTATGAAAATTCATATCTATAAATCTTTATTTTAAATTAAAAAATAGTTTCTGATAAAAAAAATTAATGGTAGACCATTAATTTTGTATTTTGATGACTTATTGCAATCTTATAAAATGAAATAATTTTTTTTATTACATTTATGAAATAGAGAATATCAAAATAGTAGTGCACTGGAGATTATCTTAGTTTACAAAATGCAGCTTTTTTGGAAGATAAGTATTCCTTTGGTGTAAGCTTGCAAGTCAAAAATCACCAATTCATAGAATTTGCCAAAACTGCATGATTGGTTTTAAGGCTCATGTGATCTTAGAATAGAATAAGTTAATTATAATGACAGAGGTTTTCACACAAGAAATGTCTAATATATATGTTTTGACACGTTTTTAATTAGTCATTATATACAAAACTTCCTTTTTCTTTTGGCAATGGTCAAATGGATATGACATGCCAGGGTCTAAAATTTAGGATTAGTGAATACTAACAATGGTCATGTGACCCCAGTTGAAAAACATTTAACTCAAAAAATATGAAAAGTTTATGGCATGTATAAAGATGAATTAGATTTTAATTTTGTCAAATGTGTAACTCTCGATATCAAAATTATACATTTTTGTGTAGTCTCATTTGGTTTTTATATATCTTTAGTTCTTTACTTACTCTTTAATCGATTCTTTCATTATGATTTTTTTTTAAAAGAAAATTTTTAAGTATACTAAATCAAATATAATTCTCTCCCATAATATATGACGTACTAAATGTATAGTCTCACCTTATATAAAAAGACTATATTCTATTTTATGATCCAATTCGATTTAAAATTATTTTAAACGGTGAATGTGAGTATAACGTTCACTTTAGTAATTGGTGATGTCAAAAATTACCAAGAGTGTTGGGCATTATTACCCAGTTGTCATCCACCCAATGGTCCAATCCAATCATACCAAAAGGAGCCAACCTACACTCTTTAAGGACACAATTATTATTGTGAACTATTTTATCAAAAACCCCAAAAATCCAAAACCAACCCAAAATGCCAAAACAAAAAAGGTTCCAATTTTCATGGTTTGCTCAGCTGGCTCCAGCTTCAGCCCCCAGTTGGTGCTCACAAGTCTCACATCACCCCCTCTCTCTCTCTCCTCTCCCAACTTCACAAGAATTTTCCTTTTCCTTTTATTTCTCACACTCCCTCTCTCCCCTATATATACCTCTTCACAACCCATCACCCTCTCACCACCTTTACTCAATTCAAAAATCTCTCTTGTTCTCTCTCTTACCTTCTAAAATGGCCATTCCATTAAAACTCTTGTTGGGTAGTCTAATAGTGATGAGCTCTTTGATGGTTAGCTATGGTGGAAACTTCTACCAAGACTTTGACATAACATGGGGTGATCAAAGAGCAAAGATATTCAGTGGAGGTCAGCTTCTGTCTCTGTCTCTAGACAAGACCTCTGGCTCTGGATTTATATCAAAGAAAGAGTATTTGTTTGGGAGAATTGATATGCAGCTCAAACTTGTTGCTGGCAACTCTGCTGGCACTGTTACTGCCTACTACGTATGTTTCTGAACTTGTTTTACTTTTTTTTTTTTGACTTGGTAAGTAGTATATGTCTTTGAAAGCTACTTTTTTTCACAAAAAGAAAAATAAACATTAATTTTTTTTAGATATCCTACTTGACTTGACAAGGTTAATAAAAGTAAAGGTGGCAAGACATTATTATCAAGATAAGATTAATGAATTAGTTGAAAGCCCTTGTTGCTGCATAATGCATATTAATACAGATATTTTTTGGCTTTTGGCCAAAAAATAAAATTTTGGACTGTTTCATCTTTCAGATGGAAGGGCAAGTTTGTTTTGTTTTGTTTTTGAGAATAGTAAGAACTAATCTCGAATTCTGATCATATATGTAAAGATTATTGTTAGAGGTATCTATCCCTAATATTATTGTTAATCGAGTCATCTCAATTGGCTCACAAATTCTAACTTTAAAAGGTTGACCAACGGTAAACAATTTAATACTCGACTTCCTCTTATGAGACGGGCAATGAAACTTGTGATTAGTTAGAATGAAACCTGAACACCTTAGTGAGAAAAAAAAAAAAAAAAAAACTAGGCTAGGTTTTACTAAAGAGTAATGATAGATACCTCTAATTTAAGAGCTCTAAATAGAGTTCCAATGAATTGACAAGTCAAAAGAAATTAAAAAGCACTAATAGAAAGTAACAACAACTACACATGAACTAGTGCCACATAATTAAAGCTCCTTAGAGCTCTTATTTTAGAGCTGCCAACATTTTTGTTTATCAAAACTAATTCTCTGCTTTGAAATTGTAAGACTTGCTTTAAGTTAATGATTTTTTCCCCAACTTTAATGTAGAAGTTGTTTTACCTTTATAATATTTGACCACCGCCCATAAAACTCCCTCAAAAGCCTTGCAAGAAAGTTTACCAGGCAATCATTTGCAAGCATTCTTTGCTTTAGCTTGAATAGTGAATTTTAACAGTTTTTGAAACTTGTTTTGATACCATAAAACTTTACAGTGTTTTCTTGTTTTTAGCCTATGGGTGCTATTTGTATTGCAGTTGTCTTCTCAAGGGCCAACACATGATGAGATTGACTTTGAGTTTTTGGGAAACCTTAGTGGTGACCCTTACATTGTTCATACTAATGTGTTCACTCAAGGGAAAGGAAATAGAGAGCAACAGTTCTATCTCTGGTTTGACCCTACCAGAAATTTTCACACCTACTCCATTGTCTGGACCTCCCAGCAAATCATGTAAGAGAAGCTTCCATTATATTTTCTTTATTTAAAAATACTAAGTAAATAAAATTATTATATTGAACCGGTTCAGCTCGTAACATTAAATTTTTGTTTTTTTTGGAAGGTGATATTTAAAAAATAACCCATTTTGTAATATGTATCACTTGATACTCCTAGTATTGTTATATTACGACTGATATTAGTATGTATTTCAATATCACTATTTAAAACCATGACCACTAATATGTGTCAAATCAAACTACAATTTCTAACAGAAATTACTTGTCTTTTTCTTTACAGTTTCTTGGTGGATAACACTCCCATAAGGGTATTCAAGAATGGTGAATCAATTGGTGTCCCTTTTCCTAAAAACCAACCCATGAAGATCTACTCTAGCCTCTGGAATGCTGATGACTGGGCCACGAGAGGCGGGCTAGTGAAAGCTGACTGGACAAAAGCACCATTCACAGCATACTACCGGGGCTTCAATGTCCAAACCTGTACTGGTTCATGCACTTCTTCGGTCTCAGGCAGTTCATGGCAGAGCCAGGAACTTGATGCATACAGTCGAAGGCGATTAAGATGGGTTCAAAAGAATTTCATGATTTACAATTACTGCACGGATTTGAAACGCTTCCCTCAAGGCCTTCCTCCAGAGTGCAAACGTTCGAGGTTCCTCTAGAAAAATTTGTTTGTTGTAAAATTTTATTGAAGATTTTTATTTTTTTTTTATTTTTTTTATTTTTTTTTTATTTTTTGTCTCTGTGTTGCGCTTTGAATTTCAGTCGGTTTTGTATGATGCCAAATAAATATATTCTTTGTTTCTTGTTTGTAAATTAAAGAATGTACAAAGCCTATTTGTCCCAGTTGTGAGGTTGGCAATGTTTGAATTTTCAAATAAATTAATATCTTGCTTCTCTTTGCCCCAACATTCCTTTGAACAGTTCACATGTAAGCCTCCCTTGAAACAGAGTATTTTTTTTTTAATCGTATTTTTTGTCCACTGTTTATGGAAAAACACTTTTGTCATTTTGTTTTTGTTTGATTGCCAAGTGAAACACTACATTGCCAATTTTTTGTTGAACTCTAGTTTGTAATCCCAAATTTTCCCTCAATTGCATTTATATGTGTTTGTGTGACATGCTATGTATCAACTCTAACTATATTTTCCAATCCATGAATAACTTACTTCATAACATGACTATGCCTTGAACAATGCTAAAATGTGCTGATAAAAAAAGAAAATAAATTTTGAAATATATATATATATATATTTTGATAACCGAATGTTCGGACCAATTTACGCGCACTTTTTATTCTTTTTTTTTTCCCTTGGTTAAACCATATTTCAGTTTCAATTTCTTGTCATCTAGGCAATCTAGCTTAAGTAATAAGTTCACCAATCAAAGGTTCTTACACCATACTGCAGATTATTTCGTCTAGTGACATGTAAAAATTTCATGCAAAAGTGGATTTAATTTTTCATGCCTGACTTTAGACAAAGAATGTTTTATTTGTGAAACTATAAACAAAGTTTTTATTTTGGAAATAGACTTTTTGATAAGAAGATTTTTTAAAAAGAATTTGGATAATGAAAATTGAGAGACTCTGCAAACGCTCTGTCATTTAATTTTAATTTGGGTCTTCCTAATCTATACAAAAAAGCGGGCTGCGTAAAAAAGCATCCAACCCGCCCACCTGCATCGATTCACCCCATCACCAGCAGTTTGAAAAAGACTATACGGTTTGGGTTAGGCGGATGACAAGTCATTTTGGACAGTTGGCTTTACCCAGCAATTTGGAAGCATGCCAACCCGCCAGATCATCTGAACTGACCTGCTTATAATACAATTAATAAAAAGTAATGTTAGAGATCTCAAAAATTTTATTAAAAATGTTGGCTTCATGTCCATGTGAAACATTTGATAAAAATTTTATTAATAAATATATATGATGATGTATGCCCTTCCACACCCAATGTTTTCGCCATAAGTCAGCAAATCCGAAGACCATCTCTGCCCCTTTCCCACACCAGGGCCACCACCACCATCGCTGCTGCAGCCGACCAATCCACTGTCCACGATCAACATCAATCAGGGATTCAAGGTGCATGCTCAACAATCAAGGAACTACATCCAACATCAATAAGGGATTCGAGGTGAATTTTGCTTCCATTTTGTTAATTGAGTTGTGTTAAACTCTGTTTTTCATTTTGAATTTTTTTTTCTTCTGATTTTGTTGGCAATCTCTCTTCAACCCACCCAACCCGCTCACTCCAAACTGCTTGTATAAGTCAACCGACCCGATTGTTTGGATGAACTGCAGCTTGGCGGCAGTTGGCAAAATATTCAATCCGCCAGTGGCGGTTTGGTTGACATTTTCACTCTAAAACCGCACCGCACCAACCCGTGCACACCTACTGCTATGACATCAGAACTCTAGTAAGTTTAGCATGTCTAGTGTTGGAATGGAATTGTCAAAGATACCAATAAATATCAATATCATCAACTCCGTCAAAGTGCACTTTGAATTTTAAGCTAAAACTACAAAGCAAATCCATTTCATATAAATCCTCGTCATCACAAACGTCATTCATGTCTCAAACAACTCCAATCTACCTATATAATCAAACAGCTCCAATCGACGCATGTAATATTCGTCATCACAAACATCATTTATGGTCAGAAACAGATCCAATCTAATATATAATCTTGTTCATTCCATGAAATCACAGACAGATTTCTTCTATGCAAGGTTCTGAAAAGTGGTTGCGGTCGCCGTAACGGTGGCGGTGGCGCGGTTGTGGTTGCGGGATGTAAAGGCCGCAACGTAACGGTTGTGGTTACCGAAACTATGAATTTTTTTATTTTTCGCACAATTTGTAAAAAACTTACCGATACACATTTTTTTTTTAAAATCATATTTATTGGGTTTTAAAATAAATTTTGATAAATTTTTCATAATTTTTAAGTATGATCCAATATATTTCATATTTTTAAATCACAAGAAAATGAATTTTTTTACATTTTATTTCAATAATTAATGACTTTATATGTCATAAATCCATATTACACTTGTGGCAAAAATTTCTTTTATTGGACTTAGATGTATAAAATTATTTTTAATTATTATACTTGTAGACGCCATATGTGCATTTTAACTCAAATAGTTTTAAAAAAGTATACATTCTTAATGGAAGAACTTGACAAAGTACATAACATCATAGCATAAATCACAAATAATAGAGAGTACATTTTACATAATGTTACTACTAAAATTACATAATGTCACCACCAAAATGAGTGACGTGGTGCATCTTGGGATTCAGATTGTTGAGCTTGATTGTTGCTGCTACCTTCACCCAACCAAAATGAGTGACGTTGTGCATCGTGGGAATCAGATTGTTGAGCTTGATTGCTACTACCTTCACCCCATCCAGTAGGAAATATATAAGTAAATGCGCTCATCATGTTATCCCTTTCTGTTTCGTGCATTAGGAGAGAAAATGGATACCTTGGCTGAAAACGATCAACATACTCTTCTTGGACTTGTTGATAATTTGGCAAACCGTATCCTAGAGGACCATGTTGTTGAAGGGGCCAAGGATAATTTTGTTGAGTTGGGTAAGGATAGCTCTGGCTATCACTGCTATAGGATGGGTAAGGGTGATATGGATAACTGCGACTACTATCAGATGAATCAAGCTGTTGTTCTCTACTTCTTATTCTTCTTTCATGCCTACGTGTATCACTACCACGAAACCTCCTAAGTAGTTGGGGTAAAGGTGCAACAGGTTCTCCAATATCATAATGTTCCCCAACATCACATAATCCAAATCCTCCAATAAAATCTTCACTTCCTGCACCAAAACTAGTACCATCACCACCATTGTCGCCGCCGCCGCTGCCACCACCACCGTCACCGTGAGGAGTGCCTTCACCATCACCATCATCACCTCCTCCATCATCACCTCCTCCATCAGATGGTGTTAAACCACCACTATTATCACTTTGAGTTGGAATAGGAGTTGAGCTTTAAGAAGTACGTCGAGCTTGATATCTATGGGTGCTACCACCATCGTTTCCATCGCTGCCATCGCCATTGCTGTCGTCACTACCACCACCATCATCATCTGAAACCAAATCTAGCCATTCAGAATTATCCACACCATCTAGTAAAGGATTTTCCATTTCTTCTATCCATGGACTTATTGGATCGTCTTCTTCAAATATGTAATCCAAGTTAATAGGATTAAAACTCCCATCAATCTCCTCTTGGTTGCTTCTTTTAACATGTCTCAATTTTAATCTCATGTTGTAAGTGATGAAGACTAATCTTTGAATTTTCTTATATTTCAATCTATTCCTCGTCTTCGTATGGATGAGACTAAAAGTACTCCAATTACGTTCATAGTGAGATGATGTGGTGGTTTGACTTAATATTTTCACAGCTATTTTTTGAAATTTAGGAGCACAACTACTATGAATAATCCACCACTCAGCTGCACAAAATTACATTACATTAGACATAAGTCAAAATATAATAGAAAATTATTTAAGTATTTATATATTGTAAATTTGTAATTTTGAAAATAAAACCTGGATTTGATTGTTTCTATGCTCTTTGTGCTAAAAGAGTGCCAAAAGTTTCCTGTTTATCTCGAAACAGCAACAACTACATTTAGACAATCATTACAAATAACATTTGCAAAAGTAGATTATTACTATTAAAATTTAAATAATTGGTACGTACTTGATTTATTGCTTTTACTTGAGCATCCATATTAGGCTCCAGTCTGGTAATTACTTTTTTAAGTCCATCCATCACTTCTTTTATCATTTCATTGGATGACGTAACACCATATTGTAATTGAGGATTTAAAAAATATCCTTCAAAAATAAGAAGACAATTAATAATTGTAAATAAATTTTATAATTGAAATCGTAACACTTACCAGCCGCATGCAAATCTTGATGCAATTGAAAAGACCATCGAGTATCAATAATTTTTCAATAATCGGTGTAGTAGTGACAATCTCTTTTAATTGCCAATTTTGCTCTATCTATAGCTTCATATATGAAACCCATTGTTGGCTTCTCATCCCCATGAACCAACCTCAATATTCTGACTAGGGGCTCATGAACTTTACAAAGCTCTGTTGCTTTCTGCCAAAACTCCTTTCCCAAAATAATTTTTTTCACATTGTAAGGCTGCCCAATCTTTGCCTTTTCCCATCTAGAATTCTTCCACTCATCACTATTAAACATAGCTCTCAATTGTTGTTTATATCTAACAATACTCTCAATAGTAATAAAATTTGTAGCAAATCAAGTGATGGCAGGTCGAATTAATTCTCTATCTCCAGTGAATTTTCTCATTAAATCCAACACCCATCCACTATTATAAATGAAATTGGTGATAGTTTTACCATCTTCAATCACCTTTGCTACACTTTTCTTATTGGTTATGTCTTTTAGCATGAGATCGATACAATACGCTAAACAAGCCATCCAATATAAATGTTTCCTTTTTCTCATTAACATTTTACCGGCAGCTTTCAGTGCAGGTTCATTATCAGTTACCACTTGAACAATGTATTGTTCTCCAATTTCATTAACAACTTTATCTAACAATCCAAAATAATATTCAGCAATCCTACTAATAATATTTGAGGCATCAATTGATTTGTGAAATATAGTACCTCTATTGCAGTACACTAAGAAGTTAATGATGTGTTGCCGAGTTAGACTGCTCAACCATCACATATGATGGATACACCTCTCTCTGCCCAAATTCCCTTAAATGATCTTATCCATTTTGTCATTTCATCATGCTCCATGCCCAAATATACTTCAGAAACTTCATAAGCACTAGGACCCTTTACTCCTGGCCCTACTTCAGCAGCAACATCAAGCATGAGTTGTGTATACTCTGAATCAACTGCATTGAATGGAATACGATTATAGAGAATAAACTTGGACACTGCCTGTCCCAATCTTTCTCTTAACTTCTGTGAATTCATTGTATAGATTTTTCGCTGCTTTGTACTTTTGCTCTTTTGGAGTTCTACATCCATTGCCCTCAACCTTGCTTCAGGAGCATTGGGCTCAATCCAATTATGTCCACTCCCACCAGTTTCACGCACGGATTATGATCAACGAAAAACATTAGCAATACCTGACCCTTTTGGCATTCTTTGACCACTACCCCCTGCACTAGAACTACCACATGTATCGTATTGTGATCCATGACCTGCAACACCTCGTCTAAATTGTTGCCTTTCCTTCCATTGTTGTTGTGAACGAATACTTGCTTGTCTAGCCCTGATCATCTCTGGATCAGAGTCAGAGTCATCATCTCGAAGATCTACAAAATCTCCCCCTTCATCCTCATCATAGAGATCATCTCCGTTAATATGTGCTTCCAATTCAGCTTTTCTCTTTTGTTTGTTTGCTTTACTCATTTTCTTGTTTTGTAAATGTTTCATCATTTCTTGCATCACGTCTCTACTAACATTAGAACAATAATGCACTTGCCCCGTTTGATGTGCTAAATGTTGTTTGAAACGCATAATCCCACCTTTAATGTGATGTCCACAAAATTTACAAATAATATGATGCATAGTGCCTTCAACTTGAGTTCCAAATTTCCAACCAATATCATCATTTGGGGGTTCATCATTAGCACATTTTTGTCGTGGCATTTTTGAATTTGAATTCTGCATCATTGATACATTTTTTTTTAATTTATTTTAAATGTTTACAAAATTATTTTTCAGCAAAACTTGAACTAACTAAATAAACAATATTTACATTTCTTGAATGAAATGATTGTAAAAAAAATGCAACCACTATTTATACATTTAGTTTTTATATGCTAATGTAATCATATAAAAATTAAAAAATAAATTATAAAGATATTTTTAAAAAAAGAAAGTTTTGCCATAAAAATTGTTGTCACAACAAATTTTGTCATTAAAAGAATAAAAATTTGTTGTCACAACACATTACAATAACAAAATAAAAAAATATTTATAATTAAATGTTAAATGAAATGATTATAAAAAAAATTCAACCACTATTTATACATTTAGATTTTACATGCTAATGTAATTAGGAATAAAGACATTTTTCATGCCATTGTTTGAGCTCTTGTTTTTATTTTTATTTTTTTATTTTATAGAAAGACATTTTAAAAAAAAATAAAAAATTGTGCCATCAAAATTGTTGTCACAACACATTACAATAAAAAATTTTAAAAAAAATATTTCAAATTAAATACTAAATAAAATAGTTATAAAAAAATGCTTCAACCTTGGCAAGTGATAAAAAATAGGTAGAAGAACTTCGGTCAAACTCCTCAAAGGAGATTAAAGAGAGGGGAAAAAATGGTTACAGAGTTAGTAAAATATAATTTTATAGAGTACTGCAGAGGCTTTGTGAATTTGAATATCTATAGCAAGGTTCTGAAAAGTGGTTGCGGTTGCCGTAACGGTGGCGGTGGCGCGGTTGCGGTTGCAGTTGCGGTTGCGGGGTGTAGAGGTCGTAGCGTAACAGTTGCAGTAACCGGAACCGTTAATTTTTTTATTTCTCGCACAATTTGAAAAAAACTTACCGATACGCATATTTTTTTTTCATAATCACATTTATTGGGTTTTAAAATAAATATTGATCAATTTTTGTAAATTTTTAAATATGATTCAATATATTTTATATTTTTAAATCACTATAAACTGAGTTTTTTACATTTGATTTTAATAATTAATGACTTTATATGTCATAAATTCATATTATGCTTGTGGCAACCAAAAAAAATTATTGGAATTAGATGTATAAAATTATTTTTGTAATTATTATTTATCATACTTGTAGAATTGAATAGTTTTAAAAAATAAATTTTACATGCTAATGTAATCATATAAAAATTAAAAAAATAAATTATAAAGAAAAAAATTCTTACATAGTTGTTTTTTGGACTTCAATCACTTGAGTATTTGTTATCTTTTTGAATAACCTACAAGAAAAAAAAAATCAATAAAAACTGACATATATAAAATGTATTAATATAATTATAGGTGTTATGATTTTTAGATATTATAAAAAAAAAATCAATCACTAATTATTATATATAAAATATTAAAAATAAGTGTATAGCTCTATATATATATATATAAATTAAAATTACTAAATATATCACATAAATTTTGTAGGCTTTACAAAATTTAAAGCCTGGAGATCATTGTTTAAAAATAAAAATAAAAATAAAAAAATATGCTAGCTGGAGACCACACACAAAGAAAAACAAATGTTATATATCTTCTCAAGGTCAATAGATGATATATATCTTCCCCAGAAAGCTAGCCAGAAAGGCAGCTGAACAAACAAAATAATAAAAAAAAGGCAACAAATCAAACTAAGCACTTACTTCGTCTTTAACACAAAAGGGCAGCCGGAGAGTCACTGGTTTCAACACAGAACAGAGGCAGCCTTGAAGATTCAACACAGGTTCATCTCTTCCCTCTTCTCTCTTCTCTCTTTCTCTATTTCTCACTCATCCGTATTTCAGATCTGAAAATTTGTGGATAGCCGATACACCTATGGAATCTCACTTCAAAGTGGCTCACGGGTTGTAAAGACAAAAGACGAAAGACAAAAGCTCAATTATAATAAAGGTATTTACAACATCTTCAGCCTTTTCTTTTCTTTCATTTTTTTTTTTGGAAAAAAATCAGCTAAAAAAGCCCTGTAACGTGCGTAACATGCCGTTACGGCCGTTACAGCACCGTTACGACCACTACGACGGCCGTAACGATAGATACACCTATGAATTTCAGTCACACCGCAAAATCGGGGGTAACGCGTGGTGCCTACCGCCGCAACTGTTACATAATGGCCGAAACCGTTACGTAACACCGCATTTTTAAACCTTGCTTCTATGCTAGTGTACAATTTTTCCATCACATAGACAATTTTTTTGTATTGAGTTAGACCCCCACCTCCTCATCCTAACTTTGCCTATACAAGGAGCCATCAATCCCTCACTCCAATTTGCCAAAAATCTCACAAAAATGGGTGTTAAAGTCACCATAGTCACAAGTCTTTCTGTCCATTGCCGCATTGCTAAAATCTTCCTAACCCTAGAAGGATTTACCTTCTTCAATGACTACGATGATGGATTCAAAGATGGTGATGACCACGAACACTTTAGGTCCGAGTTCAAGAAACATGCTTCACTAGCAATTTCAGAACTCATCACTACTAGTGCCAAGGAAGGCCGCCCTGTTACATGTTTGGTCTACACCATGTTTCAATCATGGGCAACCGAAGTGGCACGTGATGTTCACATCCCATCGGTGTTTGTTTGGACTCAAGCAGCCGTTGTTTTCACCGTCTATTATTATTCTGTAAATGGTTATGGTGATAGGATTAGACGAATTGACAATGACCCTTCATGCCCCATCAAATTGCCAAGACTGCCACAACTCACTAGCCATAACCTTTCCCTTTTTCTGCTCCCTTAAGAATCGAACACATATAGTATTGCAATTCATGTACTTAAGGAGCAGCTAGATACAATTTATCTGAAGCTCACCAAAAAAAATTTAGGAAACACTTTCGATGAATTAGAAACTGAGGCTCTAAGAGCCATTGACTTGATTGCAATAGGACCATTAGTTCCATCATCATTCTTAGATGGAAAAGATCTTTCTAATACTACTTTTGAGGGCTAGTTGGGATCGAAGCCCCAATCATCGGTTGTGTATGTGTCATTTGGAAGCATAGCAGTGTTATCAGAGCAACAAATGGAGGAGATTGCATGTGGGTTGTTGGAAAGCCATCGGCCATTCTTGTGGGTGATAAGAGATATAGAAAAAGTTGAGAAAGAAGAAGATAAACTAAATTGTAGAGAAGAACTGGAAAAACAAAGGATGATAGTGCCATGGTGTTCCCAAGTGGAGGTTCTTTCACACCTTTCTTTGGGATGCTTTGTGACTCATTGTGGGTGGAATTAATTCTTCGTTGGAAAGTGTACAGAGTTAAAACAAACTGATACAAAGTTAAAACAAAAGCAAAGAGAGATGTGTTGAAATGGTAATGCTCTATATTTTATTGATAAAGAAAGGACCTATAAATAGGCTTTACATCAGAACACTACATCCTAGCACTAACCACAACTCCTATAAAATAGGACCACACATACCACTTTCTCAGCCACGAAATCAAATAACCAAATACCCAAAGACTCGGTCAAACCTACCAATGACTAGAGCTTCCAATAAATATTAATAAATATAAAATAAAACATTTGAATCTTAACACCCTCTCTTAAACTGAAATCTACAAAAATCAGTTTAAAAAAAAAAAAACCCCTCTGCAAAGTCCTCCTTTACAGCAGCACGTGAACAAACTCCAAGTAGACCACGCAACTTCACCAATGTAGCCAACTTGAGTGGCTTGGTCTGTATATCTGCAACTTGATCTTCACTTTGACAATAAACCAATTTGATTGTTCCATTATTGCTGAGATCTCTCAAAAAATAATATTTCACATCAATATGTTTGCTTCTTCCATGTAACACAGGATTCTTGGAGAGTTTGATTGCTGAGTTGTTGTCACAAAAAACTGTAGTAGCTTCAACTTGCTCGAACTATAGCTCTTCAAGAATTCTTCTCAACTAGATAGCTTGACAAGCACAAGTTGTTGCAGCAATAAATTCAGCTTCTGTAGTTAATAAGGTGACAATTGGTTACTCTTAGAAGACCACGAAATAGCCCCTATGCCCAATGTAAAAACATAGCCCGAAGTGCTCCTTCTATCATCTTGATCTCCTGTATAATCATTGTCAGTAAACCCGAACAACTCTAACTTTTCACCATTTTTGTAGAATAACCAAGGTTTAAAAATGCGGTGTTACGTAACGGTTGCGGCAGTAGGCACCACGCGTTACCCCCGATTTTGCGGTGTGATTGAAATTCATAGGTGTATCAGCCGTTACGGCCGCCGTAGCGGTCGTAACGGTGCTGTAATGGCCGTAACGGCTCATTACGCACGTTACAGGGCTTTTTTAGCTGATTCTTTTCACAAAAAAAAAACAAAAACAAAAGAAAAGGCTGAAGATGTTGTACATACCTTTATTATAATTGAGCTTTTGTCTTTCGTCTTTCGTCTTTACAGCCCGTGAACCACTTTGAAGTGAGATTCCATAGGTGTATCGGCCATCCACAAATTTTCAGATTTGAAATACGGATGAGTGAGAAATAGAGAGAGAGAAAAGAGAAGAAGGAAGAGGGAAGAGATGAACCTGTGTTGAGTCTTCAAGGCTGTCTCTGTTCTATGTTGAAACCAGTGACTCTCCGGCTGCCCTTTTGTGTTGAAGACGAAGTAAGTGTATAGTTTGATCTATTGCCTTTTTTTATTATTTTGTTTGTTCAGCTGCCTTTCTGGCTAGCTTCCTGGGAAAGATATATATCATTTATTGACCTTGGAAAGATATATAGCAATTGTTTTTCTTTGTGTGTGGTCTCTAACTGCCATTTTTTTATTTTTTATTTTTTTAAACAATGATCTCTAGGCTTTAAATTTCGTAAAGCGTACAAAATTTATGTGATATATTTAGTAATTTTAATTTAAATATATATATATATATATATAGAGAGAGAGAGAGAGAGAGAGCTATGCACTTATTTTTAGTATTTTATATATAATAATTAGTGATCAATTTTTTTTTAATATCTAAAAATCATTACACATATAATTATATTAATACATTTTATATATATCAGTTTTTATTGATTTTTTTTCTTGCAGGTTATTCAAAAAGATAACAAATATTCAAGTGATTGAAGCCTAAAAAACAACTATGTATGAATTTTTTTCTTTATAATTTATTTTTTAATTTTTATATAATTACATTAGTATGTAAACTCCAAATGTATAAATAGTGATTGCATTTTTTTATTATAATCATTCATTTAATATTTTAATTATAAAATATTTTTTATTTGTTATTGTAATGTGTTGTGACAACAATGTTGAAGTCACTATTTTTTTTAAATATCTTTTTAAAGAAAAAAAAATCAATACCTTAAAAAAAATTCTTTATAATTTATTTTTAATTTTTATATGATTATATTAACATGTAAACTCCAAATGTATAAATAGTGATTGTATTTTTTTTTTATAATCATTTCATTTAATATTTAATTATAAAATATTTTTTATTTTGTTATTGTAATGTGTTGTGACAAACAATGTTGAAGTGCACTATTTTTTTTAAAATATCTTTTTAAAAGAAAAAAAAAATCAATACCTCAAAAAAATTCTTTATAATTTTTTTTTAATTTTTATATGATTATATTAGCATGTAAACTCTAAATGTATAAATAGTGGTTGCATTTTTTTTTATAATCATTTCATTTAATATTTAATTTATAAATATTTTTTTTATTTGTTATTACAACACTGTTAAAGGCACAATTTTTTTTAAATATATATTATATTTTAAAAAATCAATACCTCAAAAAAAAATTCTTTATAATTTATTTTTTAATTTTTATATGATTATATTAGCATGTAAACTCCAAGTGCATAAATAGTGTTGTATTTTTTTTTTTATAATCATTTCATTTAATATTTAATTATAAATATTTTTATTTTGTGATTACAACACTGTTAAAGGCACAATTTTATTAAAAATATTTATAAAAAAAAAATCAAACCTCAAAAAAAATTCTTTATAATTCATTTTTAATTTTTATATGATTACATTAGCATGTAAAATCGAAATGTATAAATAGTGGTTGCATTTTTTTATAATCTATTTACTTAGATATTTAATTCGAAATATTTTTTTTTTAATTTTGTTATTGTAATGTGCTGTGACAACAATTTTGATGGCACAATTTTTTTTTTTTAAATGTCTTTCTATAAAATAAAAAAATAAAAATAAAAACAATAGCTCAAACAATGGCATGAGAAATGTCTTTATTCCTAATTACATTAGCATGTAAAATCCAAATGTATAAATAGTGGTTGAATTTTTTTTATAATCATTTAATTTAACATTTAATTATAAATATTTTTTTTTATTTGTTATTGTAATGTATTGTGACAACAAATTTTTATTTTTTTAATGACAAATTTGTTGTGACAACAATTTTTATGGCAAAATTTTCTTTTTTTAAAAATATCTTTATAATTTATTTTTAAATTTTTATATGATTACATTAGCATGTATAATCCAAATGTATAAATAGTGTTGCATTTTTTTATAATTATTTTATTTAGTATTTATTTTAAATATTTTTAATGTTAAATTGTAATGTGTTGTGCCAACAATTTTATGGCTAAATTTCTTTAAAAAAAAAATCAATAGTTCAAAAAAAAAATCTTTATATTTATTTTTTAATTTTTATATGATTACATTAGCATGTAAAATCTAAATGTATAAATAGTGGTTGCATTTTTTTTACAATCATTTCATTTAATAAATGTAAATATTGTTTATTTAGTTAGTTCAAGTTTTGCTGAAAAATAATTTTGTAAACATTTAAAAGAAATTAAAAAAAATGTATCAATGATGCAGAATTCAAATTCAAAAACGTCACGACAAAAAGGTGCTAATGATGAACCCTCAAGTGATGATATTGATTGGAAATTTGGAACTCAAGTTGAAGACACTAGGCATCATATTATTTGTAAATTTTGTGGACATCACATTAAAGGTGGGATTACACGTTTCAAACAACATTTAGTACATCAAACGGGGCAAGGGCATTCTTGTCCTAATGTTAATTGAGACGTGATGCAAGAAATGATGAAACATTTACAAAACAAGAAAATGAGTAAAGCAGACAAACAAATTAGAAGCACATATTAGAGGAGATGATCTTTATGATGAGGATGAAGGGAGAGATTTTATAGATCTTCGAGATGATGACTCTGACTCTGATCCAGAGATGACCAGGGCTAGACAAGCAAGTATTCGTTCACAACAACAATGGGAGGAAAGACAACAATTTAGACGAGGTGTTGCAAGTCATAGTTCACAATACGATGTAGGTGGGAGTTCTGGTGCAAGGGGTAGTGGTCAAAGAATGCCAAAAGGGTCAGGTATTGTTAATGTTTTTCGTCGATCACAATCCGTGCGTGAAACTGGTGAGAGTGGACGTAATTGGATTAAGCCCAATGCTCCTGAAGCAAGGTTTAGGGCAATGGATGTAGAACTCCAAAAGAGCAAGAGTATAAAGCAGTGAAAAATCTCTACAATGAATTTACAGAAGTTGAGAGAGAGATTGGGACGGACAGTGTCCGAGTTTATGCTCTATAATTGTATTCCATTCAATGCAGTTGATTCAAAGTATACACAACCCATGCTTGATGTTGCTGCTGAAGTAGGGCCAGAAGTAAAGGGTCCTAGTGCTTATGAAGTTTCTGAAGTATATTTGGGCATGGAGCATGATGAATTGACAGAATGGATAAGATCATTCAAGGGAATTTGGGCAGAGAGAGGTGTATCCA